AACTGTACCTTGCAGCTTTGTTTGCAATGCCTGTACTTCCACTAAAGAGCAAACTTCATTCACACTTGGCTGTACTGAAAAATGGGTGCATATTTCATCTTCCTGATTTATGCTTGACCTGGAAAAATAGAGTGGGATTCAGTCAGAGTTCTTGTATTTTCCTCTTTCATAAGCACTTATTTAATCATTTGAAGAAATGTACAGTTGGTGCTCAAAGTAACATTTGTTAAGATATATTTAATAGAAATTTACATTTGCATTTGATATTCATGGACATGGGTACATGTATTTTTTTAAGAAAAGGTATTGTAACACTATGGCACTGCTTTTATAGCCAAAGTATAAAAAAATTTAGAAAACTGACATGTAAAGACTGCAGTTAATTCTGATACTGTATCTTATTAAATAGGATGAGTTTTGTTTTATAAAGTTATCCAGCACATTAAGCTGCATGCCTTAAGCTCTCTCTAGGATTGTGTTCCTGATAGGCAACTCTTTGGAAGGATGAAGCAAAGTCTGTAGTACCACTTTAACTACCTTCTGGAATACTGTACAATGGTAGAATAATTTATTTTGCTTTACAGGAGTTTGTCACGTATTGACTTTAATATTGTATTTTGGTAATAAACTTTTTTTGTTAAACTCTTTAGTCACTTTTATTTGGCCTCTATGAAATATGAATATAGAAAATCCAAACACTGAACCAGTGTTTAGAGAGAGGGAAATCTGTTGAGACAAAAAGTACTTGAAATACTTTACTGCAATTTCTTACTGTCATATGAAATTATTAGTATTAGATGTTATTACTAGTTTAAGTACTGCTATTACAAGTTTTATCAAAATAACTGTGATGAGGAAATATGAAACTATTAAGTCAAAATATTTGTAAGCCTGCATGCAGTTAGGGTGGCACCATGCTGAAGAACTGCAAATTCAAAATTCATAATGAAACTAGTAGGAATTTTTTCCCTAATTTAAATAAGAGTGAAAGCCTTAATTGGCTTTTTTTCAGGTGATTGACTTCTGCTTTTCTATCACATAAGCTAAAACATATCTTGAAACCTATTTTTAAATATACAGCATATTTCTTGGCCTTGCTGGAGCTTTTCTTCCCATCTTTCTCAGGAAAAAATAAAGTCAGTTGGTGTTGCTGGGGAGAAAAGAGAGAGTGTGGCCAGGATACCCACTGCTGGTATCAGTTACATAAACAAGCAATCTTTTGCCATTTTCTCATTGTTATTATTAGGGCCCTGGACCAAATATGTTGAAATAAAGGCTGGAACTGCAAATGGCTTTAGATGCAACACTACAGAATGCTGTGTTAGGCAGCTTTTTCACATTTTCTCTCATGCAAAACCTGGGGGGAAAAGCTCTTTGTAGTAGGATGTGGCATCCAGGTGTTATCCCGTTCACTGGGCTAAAACACCTTCCTTGTTCAGCTGAACAAAGCCCAGGAGCCTCCTCAGGAGCTTCTCCCCATAAATAACCTGGCCATGGGTGCCCACAGGTGGGACCGGGCACCGAGGGTCCTGTGAGGGTTGGAACAGCCCTGGGAACTGGGAGGAAAGGAGCCAGAGCCCTGGCACACAGCCCTGGGGTTCAGTCACTGTCCCAGATCTCTGGCAAGTGTTGGGGGCTGGAATTGCTGCAGAAACCTGGTGCATCACAGGGAGCCTGTTCTGCATCCCTCCAGGCACGTTTGGAGAAGAGCTGTCACACAAAGGAAGGGGAGATACACCATTACAACTGACCTAAGATTAGCTGGCTAATGAAATCCACAATTGGTCAAGCCAAGATTGGGGGGTTTTTTTGCCCAAAAGCAAACACTTCAGGAGCCTGAAAAGCTTTAAAAGTTGAGAAAAGTAGAACCCAGAAATTTGGCAAGTTTGCCACAAACCGCAAGGCTGCTGAACAGCACTCAAAACACTGCAGGTTTAGATTTAAAATTTACTGGGGCAGAACTTGAGTGCTCCTGCTTTTCTAGTTCATGGTAGCTCTTTCTAAAGTACAATCCAAGAGAAAACACAAATAAACAGAATTTAAAGTTTCTTCCAACCATTTCCTGTTTGTGGATGTTTGGCATTTATTGGGATTATGGCTAATTTGGTGCCAACATGAACACCCCACTACTTTGATCTAGTTGGAAGAGAATGGGCAAACAGAATATTGTTCAATTTCCTTTTGTTACTTGGGCAAGTAAGAAGCCAGCATTGCAACAGTATTATAACAATACAGTTATGATATAATCATCAGTTTTACTGATTGCAAGCCACAGTTTGGTGACTTTTAATTTACATTTTATAATACAAGTTTTAGATATTAATATCCATCTGGAAGCTCTTTAGTTCTTCTGGATTCTCATACTTGAAACATTACAAATCCATTACATCCATGCATGGGGTCATAAAACACAGGAGAATTAAGACAACTCCCCCCTTCTCTGGCATTTCTAAAGCTCTTCACTGATTATGTTTTCCAAACCATTTCAGTAACTGCTTGTTCTTGTAGAATTTACTTTGCATTGGCCTCTTTACAAGTAGTGGAGAAGTAGAACTGTTATTCCGGGAAATATCTTCCACAGCATGCCCTTCTTAGAAATGTAAGTACATTATCTGCTTTGCACAAAAACCTGCAGGCACTCAAGGTGTTTATCTACACTGTAAAATTTCTTGTACATATACAATGTGTTCATTTCAACAAATACATGACATCTAGGATGTGGCAGTGACAAAAGGAAGGTAAATCTATTGCCCATGGTAAGGCACGTTTTTATTTAGTTTTCATTCTTATTTTAAGCATTCCCACAAATGTGTGACATGTCTCATTGCTCAAAAAAAACCAAACCCAAACCCAAAAGAAGTATGGCTGTAAATTGACTTACAGTAGAAATGCTTAAATATTTGGAGGACTTGATCAGAGGAAGATAATTCTGTTGGTTCTAAAAAGCACTTACAAAACAAAATAAGCACGCAGAACAGATACTGAAAAATTTCCTGATTTCTAGTGTCAATACTTTCAAAGTTCAGAATGACCAGGATGATTAGCACACATCATTTTCTTGCAGTGTCTGAGCATGCTTTCTGTGAATTTCATGGCTCTTCCTGTTCGAAATACTAAGTTTTTCAATGAAATGAGAGAGAAAAAAAAAGTAAAAGTACTGCTGTACTATAAAATTGTGATGGAAAATCAACTAAATGTTGTCGTGAAGAAATGAACTCTCATGGACAATTCCACAGAAATTGTGTGCATTTTTGGGAAATCAGGCTCCTGTGATAGGACCTGGAGCTGGTTTGTTGGTTACAGCTTCATGGGGCATGGCTTTTCCTACAATTACTAAAGGTAGCACAAATAAAACTTACAATCAAGACTTACTGCAGAGGTAGGTTGTTCCCATTAAATAGAACAAAGTCCGGCATTGCCGTTATCTTCCAGCTACAAAAGGTCTTTTCCCCTCTAAACGTTTATGGGGCAGTTAAGCAAGAAATACAGGGGAGCTTATAACGTGTTGAACAGAACACGCAGCTCTAACTTCAATTTTAAAATCACACACATAAGGAACTATATCGGGGGGGACAGGGGGGGTTAGAAACACATTTTAAAAAACACTACAAATAAATTCTAGGGCGCTATTTGAGCACAGCATCCTCCGACAGCGCGACCCTGGGGGAGCGGCCCCGCAGCCCCTTTCCCGTGGGGATGCGGGTTCGGAG